GGCATTGGTGCCCACGGCTCGGACGACTCGGCTCTTCAAGAATTTCCGGGCGAACTTGGCATTGAAGGCTTTGCCGAAGCTGCTTAGTGCAAAGTTGCGCCTCCACACTTCCTGTCCCGGTTCCAGATGGAGCTGGCGCGCACGGTGGTTGTATCGTTGGCGGCTTCGCTCGTATGCGGTGTGCAGGTGGTCCTTGACTTGGCTTCGGATTACAGCCAGTCTGTCCTTCGCGTCAAGGTCAGGATACTGTGATCGGCCAATGATCTCAGCTTCCTGGCCAGTTTGTAACTGGAACCATTCAGGTACATCTGCTGTCCAAAGACCGCGAAAAACGGAGTCACTCCCGTAGCGCTGTGGACCACATTCCGGATCGCCACTTCCACCTCTGGTAGGTACGCGTCCCAATCCCGATGATCCTGACCCAGGTAGGTTCTGATTGCAGACAGCACTGTGTGGTTCACGCGTTCGGCGGCGTTGCTCTGAGGCGAATACACTGGTGTGCGCAGGTGGGTAATGCCAAACGCCTGGACCATGGCATCGAACGACTTTGACACGAATTGTCGTCCATTATCCGAATGGATCACTTCCGGCACGCCAAATTTGAAGAACACCTCATGCACTAGGAAGTAAACGACATCCGCCGCGGTGGCTACCCTCATGGCCTTCAGGAAGGTTAATTTCGAGAAGTGGTCTACGACGACGAATATCCACGCATGCCCTCGTTTCGACCGTGGATTCTTCCCCAAGAAGTCGATATAAAGCTTCTGGAAGGGGCGGTCGGTGCGCACTTCTTCCCCAATGCCGACCTGCATCCGGTAGTTTTGTGCCTTGGTCTCCTTGCATGTCTCGCATTTCCGTACATAATACCTGACTTGTATGGCCATGTTGGGCCAATAATATCGCCTGCGCAGCGCATGCAGCGTTTTCCTCATGCCTCCATGAGCTGACGTCTCCCGCTCAAGTCTTTGAGACTCATAAGCCACTGCAGGCTCGCATGATCGGTGATTACCGTGAACGGCATCATCTCCACGTACGGTCGAAATCGATGTATGGCCAGCTTGGCGGCTAGGCATTCCTTCTCGGTCACCGAATAGTTGATCTGGTGCTTGTTGAGTTTGGTCGAGAAGAATGCGATCGGCCTTTCCTGTTGCTCGTCGTCTAGCTGGAACAACACGGCTCGGAATGGTCTTCGAAAATCCGCGTGAACTAACACCGGGGCAGTGGTGAGGGCTAACTTCAAGCTTTCCATGGCATCCACGGCCTCGTCACTCAACACAAATCTACCCGTTCTCTTCTTAAGGGCATCATCACTCAACGGTACTGAGATCTCGGCGAAGTTCTTTATGAATCGTCGATACCACCCCGCTGTATCTAAGAAGCTTCGTAGTTCCTTGACCGTCCTCGGATTCGGGATGTTTCGGATCGCTTCTACTCTTCCCGGATCCCTGCGCAGCGTCCCGCCGCCTATGATGAAACCCAGGTAGTTTAGGTTACGGAAGCAGAATTTTGACTTCGCCATGCCTATGGTGAGGTTCGCGTTCCTCAGACACTCGGCCACCAGTTCCAAGTATTTTAGGTGCGTTGGAAAATCTGCCGATATTATCAGCAAATCGTCTAGGTATACGAACACGTTGGACCTCAGATTCGCCGGGATTACCTTGTCCATGAGCCTGCAAAGTTGTTGAGCGGCGTTGCAGAGCCCGAATGGCATGTGGCGAAACTGGTACAGCGGCCTCCCTGGTACGGTAAACGCCGTATACGCCCTGCTCTTCTCCTCCATCTCGATTTGCCAGAACGCGAACTTAAGGTCGAGAGATAAAATGAGTCTCGTCGATTCGCGATAAGATGCCCTCGATGCATGGAAGCGGGTAAGCGTCCTTTACCGTCACACCGTTTAGTTTCCTGGCATCTAAGCAAAACCTGTTCTTCCCAGGCCTCATCACCACCGTCGTCCAGTTGCTCCAGGGGCTGTCACTCTCCTCGATGATGCCTAACTTTAGCATTTTATCCACCTCGGCCCACACGATCACTTGTTTGGCCGGAGACAGCGGATAATGTCTGTCCTTCACGGGTTCTGCTCCCTCGATCAGCTGAATTCGGTGCTGGAGCAGGTGAGTTTTCCCTAGGCCATCCTTCTCAAATTGGAGAAATCTGCGCTTCACGCTTTCCAACTGACTCTTCTGATCGTTGTCCAGGTCCCACATTTCCGAATCCGCCGCGCAGTCGTCGTCGTCCCGGTAATATGCCACCTCTGGGTTCGCTACCGTTTCCTCAGATGCCTCTGGTGGTGTTCCTGGCTTTCTGGCCGGACCGAGCAGCTCTGGTACAATCTCAAGGGCCCGCCAGAAATCGATCCCCAGGTATAGTTCCTGTCGCAGGTCCGGGCACATGTAAAATACGATATTTTCCTTTCTATTCTCGTATTTCACAGGCAGAACCACGCGACCTAAAATTGGGCGATTGGCACCCGCCGCTGTCCTCACCATCGATTCGTAAGGCCGCGCTTCCCATCCCAGTTCCTCCACTAACTTCCGGCATCCTCGTCCCAACAGACTGACTGAGGCCCCCGTGTCCAGCAACCCTTTCATCTTGGCCCCGGCGACTTCCACTTCGGCAAATACGCGTGGGTCTATACAATCCTCCCGTCTCACCGCTTCGACGACCTGGCGCCGGGTAATCCTGCGTCTGCGGAAGCGCGCACGTGCCTTCACCACTCTCCGGTTGGCTAGTGTCATCCCTTCCACCTGTCGCTCACCAAAAATTCTATTTCGGGCCGACATGTATGCCCGAACACGTTCTTCATACGGTAAGCCCCTAAGTGTTCCTCCTTTGCTTATATTATTATTATAATACGCCTTATCCTGATCCTTATTCCAACTCTCCGTCTCCTTTTCCATGATTATTGGCTTTTGTAGGTACCCCTCTCCTGCTTCCCCGCGGTCGCCGTCCCGGAACGCGTCTGCCCCGCCATCACCGCGCTCCCTCTGGGGTTTTCCGGACAGTTTTCGCACTGGAAAGTGGCCGGCTTTCCACACCTATAGCAGAATATTTTCCGCTCCTTGGACAGGCAGTCTCTAAAGACGTGATCGAATTGTCTGCAGTTCCAGCATACAAGTCGGGATGAGTTCCTGCCTCGCACGAATGCTTCCTCCAGTTCTCCCGGCGGCGTTTCTGTACGTTGTGGTGGTACTTCAACCTCGTGGACTACGGGCCTCGTCCCTTGTGGACAACGCGACGGCTGCAGGTACCCCGTCCGGCTTCTACGACCCATGTGCCTCTCCACTTCTAGGCACTCTTGGCGCAGTTCATCCACGGTGAGCACGTCCATGGCATAGATATATTTCGCCAGACTTTCTTTCAAACCACGCTTTATAATCTTCACCAGCTCGCGGTCTCTCAGCGGCTTCTGGAGTCGCGCGGCGAGTTGAAGCATGTGGTGGATATAACTATCTACCCCTTCGCTGGCCTGTTGCTCTCGTTGTAATAGCTCCTGTATCACATCGTGTTCCGTCTGGTAGCCCCGGAACCTGTCCAAGAGGGCATGTCGCAGTTGCATCCAGCTGTCGACCCTAGAATGCCGCACGTGCATCCAATACCACTCGCGGGCGCGGCCGGTCAGGAGCAGGTGGAAACCGCGCAGGACCTCCTTCCACGGGCATTGATACTGCCTCTGCAGGAACTCCAGGCATCAAACTAGACGTTCCACCGCTCGAGCTTCATGTACGCCGTTTCTTGTACGTTGGCGTACGCCTCCTCCGGTTGAAAATCATCCGCTCTCCGGTCCTCTACTCGGAAATGGCGGTTATTCGAGTTACGCCAGTTCCTCGACTGAGCATCTGCGACGTAAACTGGGCTGCTGGACGAATACTCCGCCCCTCGTGCGCCTTGTCTATGTGGCTTCGGTGGCACCGGTGGTGGAAATGCCTCGCGCTGGAACACTTCCCGTTCTTTCGGGATGGCGCCTGTTCGTGGTCCCGGCTCGACATGTCTCGGCGGGTTCGGCGCAGTGTTAGTCTGGCGGCCTGAGCACATCAATGATGCCCTTCATAATTTCCATGAAGCCAGCTCGCATCTCCTCGCGGATGGACTCGCTGATGCCAGATGGCAGAGCATGCCGATACGTTTGGTGGGCCTGAGCGATCGCCGCTTTTGCCGCCGATTTGAGATCTGTCTCTCTGGAAATCCCCGGAAATTCATTGGCGTTCGCACCAGTCCCCCAGCCGGGCGCGGCGGTGGCAGAGCCGACGCCCCATCAGCGTCAGAAGCCCAATCAGACACCTGTTCCTCAGCCATACTTATCCCTTCCGAGAACTGTACCCCTCTCTTCTACAAAAATTGCTACCCTTAAACAAAACGTTACCAATATTCCTAATAAATTTATAAATAAATAAACACCCACTAACAAATCTTACTAATAGAGAATAATAATTTCAAACACATCGACCACAAAAACATTTACAAAATTAAATTTTTTTCTTTCTAATTAATTTCAAATACTTGGGGAAGAAATCCTAACACAGGCTAACTAATCTACGCATAATCTGGACAGTGGACAACACTTAAGCATTCGTCAAGGAACGCTACCTTGAACGCGAACGTTTCGCCAACATGCAAACGTGACTTACCGTCATCAACCACTAAGAGAAAACTTCTCATGTTTATGGATACTCTCTACTTTCGTCGTGCTTCTCGGATTCCACGTCACGCTGCGCGATTATGAGCTCCCTACTCGTGCCACATAAGACTTCAGCGGTGTGGGTCCTGAAGCCAAAGGAATCCTTTTCTCTGTACCTTCATTTATATCGTATTTGTTTTTCTATGATTACGCAACGACTTCAAAGAAGCCGAGTGCTTCTTCAAGTTGGGCGCCATATTGTTACGGAACTGCTTGTTTCTCTGTGGGCCGCGCCGGCTGGCTCATCGGTTTCTCTGGGTGTACTCCCATCCCTGGCACGCACAATCGATAACAACAAAGCTACACGTCTGTAGCAAAACAGACTTACACAGCACTATGCAAAACGAGCCACAAATCGATAACGTCAAACAATCGGAACTTCTAACTCATGAACAAAATAAACAGCTGTAACAACTATGAAAATGTAAACAACAAAGGTGAGACACTCAATATAAATTTACAAAAAACACAATTAATCCACCTTACTCTTCCAGATCGGGCCCCGGTTCCGGACCCAGCGTACCCGCCCAACCATGAGACGAGCACCTACACTCGTCTTCCTCATTTTGTCCATTAGATGGCCATCAGCCTGTGCCGGCTGTTATGCCAATTCTCCCCAACGAAGAAAATTTAACCGAACATTTCTCTCATCAGATACGGTATATAATTGTATATATATAATTTTCTTAAAGTGAATAACAATTATAAGCATTGCTTATGGCATTTATCTTTGCAGCTATTTCGAATCTCTTACAAGTGGATATTTGGTTAGCTTCACAGGTGCGTATAATGGTTTGTGCATTCTTATAATTATTGGCCTTAATATTTCTTTTATTCCTTTCTGATTTGCATGAGGTCTCCGTCCAGATGAATTAACACTTATGCACGTGAACGTTTCTTACACGGGTGCGTATTAATATTGCATATTTATATTTATACTTATGGACAAAGTGTATTAATGCCTAAATTTTTCTCTTATCTTCTAGAATTCTCTTTTTTTCATTTTAACAGCACTAAGTGGAACAGGCGACGAAATTCTACCAACAAAACACGCACGAAGGAAATTTGGATGCAAACGTTGCGCCAATTTAGGACCAATGTGCCCACACAACTACGCAAAACTGGGTATGCCACGAATATCGGTCGTGCAACAGGTAGGTGATATGAATTGTATTAAATCGCTTAATTCTACCTTACCCTACCTAAAGAGCTCTCTGGGGGAGGTAAGGGGCGATGTAAATGGATAATTCCAATTAGGTAAGTATGTGAGCATAGTTCGCGCAAGTGTTAATTTTAAATGTTTATCTTTTACAGGCGCAGATGCATCACCCTTGGAAATTCCCTCACCGTTCGCACTCTAAAGTGAAACTCGGCGTAAGTGCCTATGTAAGTATGGACATGATTTATAAATACAAAAAAACTAAATTTAACGACAAAAAAACTCTGTTCTTTTTCAGGGAGTACGGTCAGGAGCCTCCATCATATCTCTGCCATGGGCTCGAACGAGGATGGGCAAAAATGAAACGGACTCACTCGGAGGATGTGGGCGTGGTCTCGCCTGTGGCCGCTTCTTCGCTGTTGGCGTCCGGTCCGTGATGGCTCGTCCGTCCGTCTCGTAGATTACGCCGACACTTGGCTGGCGGCGTCGCGGATATGGCTGGTGTGTGCCGCTGAGGTGCGGGAGCTGGTCCCTTTGTTGCCGGAACCGTTAATTTTTTTTTTTTTGCTTGTCTCGTCGCACTTAGGTTTTAAGTTCTTTTTTTTGCAATACCTTAGCACATAAGGGTTAAGCGATTTACTAATAAAGAAACCTCCTCAAAAAACAAGTGTGATTTGATATTTTCTATTCCTCTTTTTTTTTAAGCACATGCCCTTAGCCGGCAAAATAAAATATCCAATTTTCAGATTTTCTTAACGGTGAGCCGGTACGTCCGCTGTGGACCGCTGACAAAATCGAACTCTCATTACATTTGGGCAGCAACATCATCGGTGCCGAATTTCGGCACACGCATACATATGCGATGCGGGCACCGTTGCTGCACATCTGCACAGCTGCATTTTTTTGGGTCAATGGCCCATATGACGGTCAAGGGCATATACAAGGGCATGCGATCCACTCAATTCATATTCCCTTTAAGAGCGAACTGAGCGGCCAATAGCAATCGTCGCTATTGGCGCCGTGGATCGCAAGTCTGGCGTTGCCACCCTTCAAAAATTTGGGCTCCGCCGTGGGCGCCGCTTCACCCCGCATACTCCGATCCTATGGCGAAAAGATATCGGCGTGGCCGATAATATCGCACGCAACCAACTAGGAAACCCTCGGTGCTACCGATAACGTCAAATGCAACATCACCACGCAGATTATTGTAATGACATGAATGACCATTACAAGGAATCTGCGTGCGCATTTCATGGATTGACCCAGCCGGCTAATAACGATGCCCAACGTAGGCCAATCCATATTTCGCACCGACCCGAAAAAAAAAAAAACAAAACAGGGAGGACGGGCGCTGCCGCCGCCATTGCCTGGCATTGAGGTGAGCAAACTACGATTATGTTCGTATATCTTTTGCGTGGAAGACGCCTAGCATGCGTCCCTGGAGATCTTCTAACTCGTAGGCATTGGTGCCCACGGCTCGGACGACTCGGCTCTTCAAGAATTTCCGGGCGAACTTGGCATTGAAGGCTTTGCCGAAGCTGCTTAGTGCAAAGTTGCGCCTCCACACTTCCTGTCCCGGTTCCAGATGGAGCTGGCGCGCACGGTGGTTGTATCGTTGGCGGCTTCGCTCGTATGCGGTGTGCAGGTGGTCCTTGACTTGGCTTCGGATTACAGCCAGTCTGTCCTTCGCGTCAAGGTCAGGATACTGTGATCGGCCAATGATCTCAGCTTCCTGGCCAGTTTGTAACTGGAACCATTCAGGTACATCTGCTGTCCAAAGACCGCGAAAAACGGAGTCACTCCCGTAGCGCTGTGGACCACATTCCGGATCGCCACTTCCACCTCTGGTAGGTACGCGTCCCAATCCCGATGATCCTGACCCAGGTAGGTTCTGATTGCAGACAGCACTGTGTGGTTCACGCGTTCGGCGGCGTTGCTCTGAGGCGAATACACTGGTGTGCGCAGGTGGGTAATGCCAAACGCCTGGACCATGGCATCGAACGACTTTGACACGAATTGTCGTCCATTATCCGAATGGATCACTTCCGGCACGCCAAATTTGAAGAACACCTCATGCACTAGGAAGTAAACGACATCCGCCGCGGTGGCTACCCTCATGGCCTTCAGGAAGGTTAATTTCGAGAAGTGGTCTACGACGACGAATATCCACGCATGCCCTCGTTTCGACCGTGGATTCTTCCCCAAGAAGTCGATATAAAGCTTCTGGAAGGGGCGGTCGGTGCGCACTTCTTCCCCAATGCCGACCTGCATCCGGTAGTTTTGTGCCTTGGTCTCCTTGCATGTCTCGCATTTCCGTACATAATACCTGACTTGTATGGCCATGTTGGGCCAATAATATCGCCTGCGCAGCGCATGCAGCGTTTTCCTCATGCCTCCATGAGCTGACGTCTCCCGCTCAAGTCTTTGAGACTCATAAGCCACTGCAGGCTCGCATGATCGGTGATTACCGTGAACGGCATCATCTCCACGTACGGTCGAAATCGATGTATGGCCAGCTTGGCGGCTAGGCATTCCTTCTCGGTCACCGAATAGTTGATCTGGTGCTTGTTGAGTTTGGTCGAGAAGAATGCGATCGGCCTTTCCTGTTGCTCGTCGTCTAGCTGGAACAACACGGCTCGGAATGGTCTTCGAAAATCCGCGTGAACTAACACCGGGGCAGTGGTGAGGGCTAACTTCAAGCTTTCCATGGCATCCACGGCCTCGTCACTCAACACAAATCTACCCGTTCTCTTCTTAAGGGCATCATCACTCAACGGTACTGAGATCTCGGCGAAGTTCTTTATGAATCGTCGATACCACCCCGCTGTACCTAAGAAGCTTCGTAGTTCCTTGACCGTCCTCGGATTCGGGATGTTTCGGATCGCTTCTACTCTTCCCGGATCCCTGCGCAGCGTCCCGCCGCCTATGATGAAACCCAGGTAGTTTAGGTTACGGAAGCAGAATTTTGACTTCGCCATGCCTATGGTGAGGTTCGCGTTCCTCAGACACTCGGCCACCAGTTCCAAGTATTTTAGGTGCGTTGGAAAATCTGCCGATATTATCAGCAAATCGTCTAGGTATACGAACACGTTGGACCTCAGATTCGCCGGGATTACCTTGTCCATGAGCCTGCAAAGTTGTTGAGCGGCGTTGCAGAGCCCGAATGGCATGTGGCGAAACTGGTACAGCGGCCTCCCTGGTACGGTAAACGCCGTATACGCCCTGCTCTTCTCCTCCATCTCGATTTGCCAGAACGCGAACTTAAGGTCGAGAGATAAAATGAGTCTCGTCGATTCGCGATAAGATGCCCTCGATGCATGGAAGCGGGTAAGCGTCCTTTACCGTCACACCGTTTAGTTTCCTGGCATCTAAGCAAAACCTGTTCTTCCCAGGCCTCATCACCACCGTCGTCCAGTTGCTCCAGGGGCTGTCACTCTCCTCGATGATGCCTAACTTTAGCATTTTATCCACCTCGGCCCACACGATCACTTGTTTGGCCGGAGACAGCGGATAATGTCTGTCCTTCACGGGTTCTGCTCCCTCGATCAGCTGAATTCGGTGCTGGAGCAGGTGAGTTTTCCCTAGGCCATCCTTCTCAAATTGGAGAAATCTGCGCTTCACGCTTTCCAACTGACTCTTCTGATCGTTGTCCAGGTCCCACATTTCCGAATCCGCCGCGCAGTCGTCGTCGTCCCGGTAATATGCCACCTCTGGGTTCGCTACCGTTTCCTCAGATGCCTCTGGTGGTGTTCCTGGCTTTCTGGCCGGACCGAGCAGCTCTGGTACAATCTCAAGGGCCCGCCAGAAATCGATCCCCAGGTATAGTTCCTGTCGCAGGTCCGGGCACATGTAAAATACGATATTTTCCTTTCTATTCTCGTATTTCACAGGCAGAACCACGCGACCTAAAATTGGGCGATTGGCACCCGCCGCTGTCCTCACCATCGATTCGTAAGGCCGCGCTTCCCATCCCAGTTCCTCCACTAACTTCCGGCATCCTCGTCCCAACAGACTGACTGAGGCCCCCGTGTCCAGCAACCCTTTCATCTTGGCCCCGGCGACTTCCACTTCGGCAAATACGCGTGGGTCTATACAATCCTCCCGTCTCACCGCTTCGACGACCTGGCGCCGGGTAATCCTGCGTCTGCGGAAGCGCGCACGTGCCTTCACCACTCTCCGGTTGGCTAGTGTCATCCCTTCCACCTGTCGCTCACCAAAAATTCTATTTCGGGCCGACATGTATGCCCGAACACGTTCTTCATACGGTAAGCCCCTAAGTGTTCCTCCTTTGCTTATATTATTATTATAATACGCCTTATCCTGATCCTTATTCCAACTCTCCGTCTCCTTTTCCATGATTATTGGCTTTTGTAGGTACCCCTCTCCTGCTTCCCCGCGGTCGCCGTCCCGGAACGCGTCTGCCCCGCCATCACCGCGCTCCCTCTGGGGTTTTCCGGACAGTTTTCGCACTGGAAAGTGTCCGGCTTTCCACACCTATAGCAGAATATTTTCCGCTCCTTGGACAGGCAGTCTCTAAAGACGTGATCGAATTGTCTGCAGTTCCAGCATACAAGTCGGGATGAGTTCCTGCCTCGCACGAATGCTTCCTCCAGTTCTCCCGGCGGCGTTTCTGTACGTTGTGGTGGTACTTCAACCTCGTGGACTACGGGCCTCGTCCCTTGTGGACAACGCGACGGCTGCAGGTACCCCGTCCGGCTTCTACGACCCATGTGCCTCTCCACTTCTAGGCACTCTTGGCGCAGTTCATCCACGGTGAGCACGTCCATGGCATAGATATATTTCGCCAGACTTTCTTTCAAACCACGCTTTATAATCTTCACCAGCTCGCGGTCTCTCAGCGGCTTCTGGAGTCGCGCGGCGAGTTGAAGCATGTGGTGGATATAACTATCTACCCCTTCGCTGGCCTGTTGCTCTCGTTGTAATAGCTCCTGTATCACATCGTGTTCCGTCTGGTAGCCCCGGAACCTGTCCAAGAGGGCATGTCGCAGTTGCATCCAGCTGTCGACCCTAGAATGCCGCACGTGCATCCAATACCACTCGCGGGCGCGGCCGGTCAGGAGCAGGTGGAAACCGCGCAGGACCTCCTTCCACGGGCATTGATACTGCCTCTGCAGGAACTCCAGGCATCAAACTAGACGTTCCACCGCTCGAGCTTCATGTACGCCGTTTCTTGTACGTTGGCGTACGCCTCCTCCGGTTGAAAATCATCCGCTCTCCGGTCCTCTACTCGGAAATGGCGGTTATTCGAGTTACGCCAGTTCCTCGACTGAGCATCTGCGACGTAAACTGGGCTGCTGGACGAATACTCCGCCCCTCGTGCGCCTTGTCTATGTGGCTTCGGTGGCACCGGTGGTGGAAATGCCTCGCGCTGGAACACTTCCCGTTCTTTCGGGATGGCGCCTGTTCGTGGTCCCGGCTCGACATGTCTCGGCGGGTTCGGCGCAGTGTTAGTCTGGCGGCCTGAGCACATCAATGATGCCCTTCATAATTTCCATGAAGCCAGCTCGCATCTCCTCGCGGATGGACTCGCTGATGCCAGATGGCAGAGCATGCCGATACGTTTGGTGGGCCTGAGCGATCGCCGCTTTTGCCGCCGATTTGAGATCTGTCTCTCTGGAAATCCCCGGAAATTCATTGGCGTTCGCACCAGTCCCCCAGCCGGGCGCGGCGGTGGCAGAGCCGACGCCCCATCAGCGTCAGAAGCCCAATCAGACACCTGTTCCTCAGCCATACTTATCCCTTCCGAGAACTGTACCCCTCTCTTCTACAAAAATTGCTACCCTTAAACAAAACGTTACCAATATTCCTAATAAATTTATAAATAAATAAACACCCACTAACAAATCTTACTAATAGAGAATAATAATTTCAAACACATCGACCACAAAAACATTTACAAAATTAAATTTTTTTCTTTCTAATTAATTTCAAATACTTGGGGAAGAAATCCTAACACAGGCTAACTAATCTACGCATAATCTGGACAGTGGACAACACTTAAGCATTCGTCAAGGAACGCTACCTTGAACGCGAACGTTTCGCCAACATGCAAACGTGACTTACCGTCATCAACCACTAAGAGAAAACTTCTCATGTTTATGGATACTCTCTACTTTCGTCGTGCTTCTCGGATTCCACGTCACGCTGCGCGATTATGAGCTCCCTACTCGTGCCACATAAGACTTCAGCGGTGTGGGTCCTGAAGCCAAAGGAATCCTTTTCTCTGTACCTTCATTTATATCGTATTTGTTTTTCTATGATTACGCAACGACTTCAAAGAAGCCGAGTGCTTCTTCAAGTTGGGCGCCATATTGTTACGGAACTGCTTGTTTCTCTGTGGGCCGCGCCGGCTGGCTCATCGGTTTCTCTGGGTGTACTCCCATCCCTGGCACGCACAATCGATAACAACAAAGCTACACGTCTGTAGCAAAACAGACTTACACAGCACTATGCAAAACGAGCCACAAATCGATAACGTCAAACAATCGGAACTTCTAACTCATGAACAAAATAAACAGCTGTAACAACTATGAAAATGTAAACAACAAAGGTGAGACACTCAATATAAATTTACAAAAAACACAATTAATCCACCTTACTCTTCCAGATCGGGCCCCGGTTCCGGACCCAGCGTACCCGCCCAACCATGAGACGAGCACCTACACTCGTCTTCCTCATTTTGTCCATTAGATGGCCATCAGCCTGTGCCGGCTGTTATGCCAATTCTCCCCAACGAAGAAAATTTAACCGAACATTTCTCTCATCAGATACGGTATATAATTGTATATATATAATTTTCTTAAAGTGAATAACAATTATAAGCATTGCTTATGGCATTTATCTTTGCAGCTATTTCGAATCTCTTACAAGTGGATATTTGGTTAGCTTCACAGGTGCGTATAATGGTTTGTGCATTCTTATAATTATTGGCCTTAATATTTCTTTTATTCCTTTCTGATTTGCATGAGGTCTCCGTCCAGATGAATTAACACTTATGCACGTGAACGTTTCTTACACGGGTGCGTATTAATATTGCATATTTATATTTATACTTATGGACAAAGTGTATTAATGCCTAAATTTTTCTCTTATCTTCTAGAATTCTCTTTTTTTCATTTTAACAGCACTAAGTGGAACAGGCGACGAAATTCTACCAGGATACTGCTAGTCGCCGCAAAAACAAAACACGCACGAAGGAAATTTGGATGCAAACGTTGCGCCAATTTAGGACCAATGTGCCCACACAACTACGCAAAACTGGGTATGCCACGAATATCGGTCGTGCAACAGGTAGGTGATATGAATTGTATTAAATCGCTTAATTCTACCTTACCCTACCTAAAGAGCTCTCTGGGGGAGGTAAGGGGCGATGTAAATGGATAATTCCAATTAGGTAAGTATGTGAGCATAGTTCGCGCAAGTGTTAATTTTAAATGTTTATCTTTTACAGGCGCAGATGCATCACCCTTGGAAATTCCCTCACCGTTCGCACTCTAAAGTGAAACTCGGCGTAAGTGCCTATGTAAGTATGGACATGATTTATAAATACAAAAAAACTAAATTTAACGACAAAAAAACTCTGTTCTTTTTCAGGGAGTACGGTCAGGAGCCTCCATCATATCTCTGCCATGGGCTCGAACGAGGATGGGCAAAAATGAAACGGACTCACTCGGAGGATGTGGGCGTGGTCTCGCCTGTGGCCGCTTCTTCGCTGTTGGCGTCCGGTCCGTGATGGCTCGTCCGTCCGTCTCGTAGATTACGCCGACACTTGGCTGGCGGCGTCGCGGATATGGCTGGTGTGTGCCGCTGAGGTGCGGGAGCTGGTCCCTTTGTTGCCGGAACCGTTAATTTTTTTTTTTTTGCTTGTCTCGTCGCACTTAGGTTTTAAGTTCTTTTTTTTGCAATACCTTAGCACATAAGGGTTAAGCGATTTACTAATAAAGAAACCTCCTCAAAAAACAAGTGTGATTTGATATTTTCTATTCCTCTTTTTTTTTAAGCACATGCCCTTAGCCGGCAAAATAAAATATCCAATTTTCAGATTTTCTTAACGGTGAGCCGGTACGTCCGCTGTGGACCGCTGACAAAATCGAACTCTCATTACATTTGGGCAGCAACATCATCGGTGCCGAATTTCGGCACACGCATACATATGCGATGCGGGCACCGTTGCTGCACATCTGCACAGCTGCATTTTTTTGGGTCAATGGCCCATATGACGGTCAAGGGCATATACAAGGGCATGCGATCCACTCAATTCATATTCCCTTTAAGAGCGAACTGAGCGGCCAATAGCAATCGTCGCTATTGGCGCCGTGGATCGCAAGTCTGGCGTTGCCACCCTTCAAAAATTTGGGCTCCGCCGTGGGCGCCGCTTCACCCCGCATACTCCGATCCTATGGCGAAAAGATATCGGCGTGGCCGATAATATCGCACGCAACCAACTAGGAAACCCTCGGTGCTACCGATAACGTCAAATGCAACATCACCACGCAGATTATTGTAATGACATGAATGACCATTACAAGGAATCTGCGTGCGCATTTCATGGATTGACCCAGCCGGCTAATAACGATGCCCAACGTAGGCCAATCCATATTTCGCACCGACCCGAAAAAAAAAAAACAAAACAGGGAGGACGGGCGCTGCCGCCGCCATTGCCTGGCATTGAGGTGAGCAAACTACGATTATGTTCGTATATCTTTTGCGTGGACGACGCCTAGCATGCGTCCCTGGAGATCTTCTAACTCGTAGGCATTGGTGCCCACGGCTCGGACGACTCGGCTCTTCAAGAATTTCCGGGCGAACTTGGCATTGAAGGCTTTGCCGAAGCTGCTTAGTGCAAAGTTGCGCCTCCACACTTCCTGTCCCGGTTCCAGATGGAGCTGGCGCGCACGGTGGTTGTATCGTTGGCGGCTTCGCTCGTATGCGGTGTGCAGGTGGTCCTTGACTTGGCTTCGGATTACAGCCAGTCTGTCCTTCGCGTCAAGGTCAGGATACTGTGATCGGCCAATGATCTCAGCTTCCTGGCCAGTTTGTAACTGGAACCATTCAGGTACATCTGCTGTCCAAAGACCGCGAAAAACGGAGTCACTCCCGTAGCGCTGTGGACCACATTCCGGATCGCCACTTCCACCTCTGGTAGGTACGCGTCCCAATCCCGATGATCCTGACCCAGGTAGGTTCTGATTGCAGACAGCACTGTGTGGTTCACGCGTTCGGCGGCGTTGCTCTGAGGCGAATACACTGGTGTGCGCAGGTGGGTAATGCCAAACGCCTGGACCATGGCATCGAACGACTTTGACACGAATTGTCGTCCATTATCCGAATGGATCACTTCCGGCACGCCAAATTTGAAGAACACCTCATGCACTAGGAAGTAAACGACATCCGCCGCGGTGGCTACCCTCATGGCCTTCAGGAAGGTTAATTTCGAGAAGTGGTCTACGACGACGAATATCCACGCATGCCCTCGTTTCGACCGTGGATTCTTCCCCAAGAAGTCGATATAAAGCTTCTGGAAGGGGCGGTCGGTGCGCACTTCTTCCCCAATGCCGACCTGCATCCGGTAGTTTTGTGCCTTGGTCTCCTTGCATGTCTCGCATTTCCGTACATAATACCTGACTTGTATGGCCATGTTGGGCCAATAATATCGCCTGCGCAGCGCATGCAGCGTTTTCCTCATGCCTCCATGAGCTGACGTCTCCCGCTCAAGTCTTTGAGACTCATAAGCCACTGCAGGCTCGCATGATCGGTGATTACCGTGAACGGCATCATCTCCACGTACGGTCGAAATCGATGTATGGCCAGCTTGGCGGCTAGGCATTCCTTCTCGGTCACCGAATAGTTGATCTGGTGCTTGTTGAGTTTGGTCGAGAAGAATGCGATCGGCCTTTCCTGTTGCTCGTCGTCTAGCTGGAACAACACGGCTCGGAATGGTCTTCGAAAATCCGCGTGAACTAACACCGGGGCAGTGGTGAGGGCTAACTTCAAGCTTTCCATGGCATCCACGGCCTCGTCACTCAACACAAATCGACCCGTTCTCTTCTTAAGGGCATCATCACTCAACGGTACTGAGATCTCGGCGAAGTTCTTTATGAATCGTCGATACCACCCCGCTGTACCTAAGAAGCTTCGTAGTTCCTTGACCGTCCTCGGATTCGGGATGTTTCGGATCGCTTCTACTCTTCCCGGATCCCTGCGCAGCGTCCCGCCGCCTATGATGAAACCCAGGTAGTTTAGGTTACGGAAGCAGAATTTTGACTTCGCCATGCCTATGGTGAGGTTCGCGTTCCTCAGACACTCGGCCACCAGTTCCAAGTATTTTAGGTGCGTTGGAAAATCTGCCGATATTATCAGCAAATCGTCTAGGTATACGAACACGTTGGACCTCAGATTCGCCGGGATTACCTTGTCCATGAGCCTGCAAAGTTGTTGAGCGGCGTTGCAGAGCCCGAATGGCATGTGGCGAAACTGGTACAGCGGCCTCCCTGGTACGGTAAACGCCGTATACGCCCTGCTCTTCTCCTCCATCTCGATTTCCCAGAACGCGAACTTAAGGTCGAGAGATAAAATGAGTCTCGTCGATTCGCGATAAGATGCCCTCGATGCATGGAAGCGGGTAAGCGTCCTTTACCGTCACACCGTTTAGTTTCCTGGCATCTAAGCAAAACCTGTTCTTCCCAGGCCTCATCACCACCGTCGTCCAGTTGCTCCAGGGGCTGTCACTCTCCTCGATGATGCCTAACTTTAGCATTTTATCCACCTCGGCCCACACGATCACTTGTTTGGCCGGAGACAGCGGATAATGTCTGTCCTTCACGGGTTCTGCTCCCTCGATCAGCTGAATTCGGTGCTGGAGCAGGTGAGTTTTCCCTAGGCCATCCTTCTCAAATTGGAGAAATCTGCGCTTCACGCTTTCCAACTGACTCTTCAGATCGTTGTCCAGGTCCCACATTTCCGAATCCGCCGCGCAGTCGTCGTCGTCCCGGTAATATGCCACCTCTGGGTTCGCTACCGTTTCCTCAGATGCCTCTGGTGGTGTTCCTGGCTTTCTGGCCGGACCGAGCAGCTCTGGTACAATCTCAAAGGCCCGCCAGAAATCGATCCCCAGGTATAGTTCCTGTCGCAGGTCCGGGCACATGTAAAATACGATATTTTCCTTTCTATTCTCGTATTTCACAGGCAGAACCACGCGACCTAAAATTGGGCGATTGGCACCCGCCGCTGTCCTCACCATCGATTCGTAAGGCCGCGCTTCCCATCCCAGTTCCTCCACTAACTTCCGGCATCCTCGTCCCAACAGACTGACTGAGGCCCCCGTGTCCAGCAACCCTTTCATCTTGGCCCCGGCGACTTCCACTTCGGCAAATACGCGTGGGTCTATACAATCCTCCCGTCTCACCGCTTCGACGACCTGGCGCCGGGTAATCCTGCGTCTGCGGAAGCGCGCACGTGCCTTCACCACTCTCCGGTTGGCTAGTGTCATCCCTTCCACCTGTCGCTCACCAAAAATTCTATTTCGGGCCGACATGTATGCCCGAACACGTTCTTCATACGGTAAGCCCCTAAGTGTTCCTCCTTTGCTTATATTATTATTATAATACGCCTTATCCTGATCCTTATTCCAACTCTCCGTCTCCTTTTCCATGATTATTGGCTTTTGTAGGTACCCCTCTCCTGCTTCCCCGCGGTCGCCGTCCCGGAACGCGTCTGCCCCGCCATCACCGCGCTCCCTCTGGGGTTTTCCGGACAGTTTTCGCACTGGAAAGTGTCCGGCTTTCCACACCTATAGCAGAATATTTTCCGCTCCTTGGACAGGCAGTCTCTAAAGACGTGATCGAATTGTCTGCAGTTCCAGCATACAAGTCGGGATGAGTTCCTGCCTCGCACGAATGCTTCCTCCAGTTCTCCCGGCGGCGTTTCTGTACGTTGTGGTGGTACTTCAACCTCGTGGACTACGGGCCTCGTCCCTTGTGGACAACGCGACGGCTGCAGGTACCCCGTCCGGCTTCTACGACCCATGTGCCTCTCCACTTCTAGGCACTCTTGGCGCAGTTCATCCACGGTGAGCACGTCCATGGCATAGATATATTTCGCCAGACTTTCTTTCAAACCACGCTTTATAATCTTCACCAGCTCGCGGTCTCTCAGCGGCTTCTGGAGTCGCGCGGCGAGTTGAAGCATGTGGTGGATATAACTATCTACCCCTTCGCTGGCCTGTTGCTCTCGTTGTAATAGCTCCTGTATCACATCGTGTTCCGTCTGGTAGCCCCGGAACCTGTCCAAGAGGGCATGTCGCAGTTGCATCCAGCTGTCGACCCTAGAATGCCGCACGTGCATCCAATACCACTCGCGGGCGCGGCCGGTCAGGAGCAGGTGGAAACCGCGCAGGACCTCCTTCCACGGGCATTGATACTGCCTCTGCAGGAACTCCAGGCATCAAACTAGACGTTCCACCGCTCGAGCTTCATGTACGCCGTTTCTTGTACGTTGGCGTACGCCTCCTCCGGTTGAAAATCATCCGCTCTCCGGTCCTCTACTCGGAAATGGCGGTTATTCGAGTTACGCCAGTTCCTCGACTGAGCATCTGCGACGTAAACTGGGCTGCTGGACGAATACTCCGCCCCTCGTGCGCCTTGTCTATGTGGCTTCGGTGGCACCGGTGGTGGAAATGCCTCGCGCTGGAACACTTCCCGTTCTTTCGGGATGGCGCCTGTTCGTGGTCCCGGCTCGACATGTCTCGGCGGGTTCGGCGCAGTGTTAGTCTGGCGGCCTGAGCACATCAATGATGCCCTTCATAATTTCCATGAAGCCAGCTCGCATCTCCTCGCGGATGGACTCGCTGATGCCAGATGGCAGAGCATGCCGATACGTTTGGTGGGCCTGAGCGATCGCCGCTTTTGCCGCCGATTTGAGATCTGTCTCTCTGGAAATCCCCGGAAATTCATTGGCGTTCGCACCAGTCCCCCAGCCGGGCGCGGCGGTGGCAGAGCCGACGCCCCATCAGCGTCAGAAGCCCAATCAGACACCTGTTCCTCAGCCATACTTATCCCTTCCGAGAACTGTACCCCTCTCTTCTACAAAAATTGCTACCCTTAAACAAAACGTTACCAATATTCCTAATAAATTTATAAATAAATAAACACCCACTAACAAATCTTACTAATAGAGAATAATAATTTCAAACACATCGACCACAAAAACATTTACAAAATTAAATTTTTTTCTTTCTAATTAATTTCAAATACTTGGGGAAGAAATCCTAACACAGGCTAACTAATCTACGCATAATCTGGACAGTGGACAACACTTAAGCATTCGTCAAGGAACGCTACCTTGAACGCGAACGTTTCGCCAACATGCAAACGTGACTTACCGTCATCAACCACTAAGAGAAAACTTCTCATGTTTATGGATACTCTCTACTTTCGTCGTGCTTCTCGGATTCCACGTCACGCTGCGCGATTATGAGCTCCCTACTCGTGCCACATAAGACTTCAGCGGTGTGGGTCCTGAAGCCAAAGGAATCCTTTTCTCTGTACCTTCATTTATATCGTATTTGTTTTTCTATGATTACGCAACGACTTCAAAGAAGCCGAGTGCTTCTTCAAGTTGGGCGCCATATTGTTACGGAACTGCTTGTTTCTCTGTGGGCCGCGCCGGCTGGCTCATCGGTTTCTCTGGGTGTACTCCCATCCCTGGCACGCACAATCGATAACAACAAAGCTACACGTCTGTAGCAAAACAGACTTACACAGCACTATGCAAAACGAGCCACAAATCGATAACGTCAAACAATCGGAACTTCTAACTCATGAACAAAATAAACAGCTGTAACAACTATGAAAATGTAAACAACAAAGGTGAGACACTCAATATAAATTTACAAAAAACACAATTAATCCACCTTACTCTTCCAGATCGGGCCCCGGTTCCGGACCCAGCGTACCCGCCCAACCATGAGACGAGCACCTACACTCGTCTTCCTCATTTTGTCCATTAGATGGCCATCAGCCTGTGCCGGCTGTTATGCCAATTCTCCCCAACGAAGAAAATTTAACCGAACATTTCTCTCATCAGATACGGTATATAATTGTATATATATAATTTTCTTAAAGTGAATAACAATTATAAGCATTGCTTATGGCATTTATCTTTGCAGCTATTTCGAATCTCTTACAAGTGGATATTTGGTTAGCTTCACAGGTGCGTATAATGGTTTGTGCATTCTTATAATTATTGGCCTTAATATTTCTTTTATTCCTTTCTGATTTGCATGAGGTCTCCGTCCAGATGAATTAACACTTATGCACGTGAACGTTTCTTACACGGGTGTGTATTAATATTGCATATTTATATTTATACTTATGGACAAAGTGTATTAATGCCTAAATTTTTCTCTTATCTTCTAGAATTCTCTTTTTTTCATTTTAACAGCACTAAGTGGAACAGGCGACGAAATTCTACCAGGATACTGCTAGTCGCCGCAAAAACAAAACACGCACGAAGGAAATTTGGATGCAAACGTTGCGCCAATTTAGGACCAATGTGCCCACACAACTACGCAAAACTGGGTATGCCACGAATATCGGTCGTGCAACAGGTAGGTGATATGAATTGTATTAAATCGCTTAATTCTACCTTACCCTACCTAAAGAGCTCTCTGGGGGAGGTAAGGGGCGATGTAAATGGATAATTCCAATTAGGTAAGTATGTGAGCATAGTTCGCGCAAGTGTTAATTTTAAATGTTTATCTTTTACAGGCGCAGATGCATCACCCTTGGAAATTCCCTCACCGTTCGCACTCTAAAGTGAAACTCGGCGTAAGTGCCTATGTAAGTATGGACATGATTTATAAATACAAAAAAACTAAATTTAACGACAAAAAAACTCTGTTCTTTTTCAGGGAGTACGGTCAGTAGCCTCCATCATATCTCTGCCATGGGCTCGAACGAGGATGGGCAAAAATGAAACGGACTCACTCGGAGGATGTGGGCGTGGTCTCGCCTGTGGCCGCTTCTTCGCTGTTGGCGTCCGGTCCGTGATGGCTCGTCCGTCCGTCTCGTGGATTACGCCGACACTTGGCTGGCGGCGTCGCGGATATGGCTGGTGTGTGCCGCTGAGGTGCGGGAGCTGGTCCCTTTGTTGCCGGAACCGTTAATTTTTTTTTTTTTTGCTTGTCTCGTCGCACTTAGGTTTTAAGTTCTTTTTTTTGCAATACCTTAGCACATAAGGGTTAAGCGATTTACTAATAAAGAAACCTCCTCAAAAAACAAGTGTGATTTGATATTTTCTATTCCTCTTTTTTTTTTAAGCACATGCCCTCAGCCGGCAAAATAAAATATCCAATTTTCAGATTTTCTTAACGGTGAGCCGGTACGTCCGCTGTGGACCGCTGACAAAATCGAACTCTCATTACATTTGGGCAGCAACATCATCGGTGCCGAATTTCGGCACACGCATACATATGCGAGGCGGGCACCGTTGCTGCACATCTGCACAGCTGCATTTTTTTGGGTCAATGGCCCATATGACGGTCAAGGGCATATACAAGGGCATGCGATCCACTCAATTCATATTCCCTTTAAGAGCGAACTGAGCGGCCAATAGCAATCGTCGCTATTGGCGCCGTGGATCGCAAGTCTGGCGTTGCCACCCTTCAAAAATTTGGGCTCCGCCGTGGGCGCCGCTTCACCCCGCATACTCTGATCCTATGGCGAAAAGATATCGGCGTGGCCGATAATATCGCACGCAACCAACTAGGAAACCCTCGGTGCTACCGATAACGTCAAATGCAACATCACCACGCAGATTATTGTAATGACATGAATGACCATTACAAGGAATCTGCGTGCGCATTTCATGGATTGACCCAGCCGGCTAATAACGATGCCCAACGTAGGCCAATCCATATTTCGCACCGACCCGAAAAAAAAAAACAAAACAGGGAGGACGGGCGCTGCCGCCGCCATTGCCTGGCAGGGAGGTGAGCAAACTACGATTATGTTCGTATATCTTTTGCGTGGAAGACGCCTAGCATGCGTCCCTGGAGATCTTCTAACTCGTAGGCATTGGTGCCCACGGCTCGGACGACTCGGCTCTTCAAGAATTTCCGGGCGAACTTGGCATTGAAGGCTTTGCCGAAGCTGCTTAGTGCAAAGTTGCGCCTCCACACTTCCTGTCCCGGTTCCAGATGGAGCTGGCGCGCACGGTGGTTGTATCGTTGGCGGCTTCGCTCGTATGCGGTGTGCAGGTGGTCCTTGACTTGGCTTCGGATTACAGCCAGTCTGTCCTTCGCGTCAAGGTCAGGAATACTGTGATCGGCCAATGATCTCAGCTTCCTGGCCAGTTTGTAACTGGAACCATTCAGGTACATCTGCTGTCCAAAGACCGCGAAAAACGGAGTCACTCCCGTAGCGCTGTGGACCACATTCCGGATCGCCACTTCCACCTCTGGTAGGTACGCGTCCCAATCCCGATGATCCTGACCCAGGTAGGTTCTGATTGCAGACAGCACTGTGTGGTTCACGCGTTCGGCGGCGTTGCTCTGAGGCGAATACACTGGTGTGCGCAGGTGGGTAATGCCAAACGCCTGGACCATGGCATCGAACGACTTTGACACAAATTGTCGTCCATTATCCGAATGGATCACTTCCGGCACGCCAAATTTGAAGAACACCTCATGCACTAGGAAGTAAACGACATCCGCCGCGGTGGCTACCCTCATGGCCTTCAGGAAGGTTAATTTCGAGAAGTGGTCTACGACGACGAATATCCACGCATGCCCTCGTTTCGACCGTGGATTCTTCCCCAAGAAGTCGATATAAAGCTTCTGGAAGGGGCGGTCGGTGCGCACTTCTTCCCCAATGCCGACCTGCATCCGGTAGTTTTGTGCCTTGGTCTCCTTGCATGTCTCGCATTTCCGTACATAATACCTGACTTGTATGGCCATGTTGGGCCAATAATATCACCTGCGCAGCGCATGCAGTGTTTTCCTCATGCCTCCATGAGCTGACGTCTCCCGCTCAAGTCTTTGAGACTCATAAGCCACTGCAGGCTCGCATGATCGGTGATTACCGTGAACGGCATCATCTCCACGTACGGTCGAAATCGATGTATGGCCAGCTTGGCGGCTAGGCATTCCTTCTCGGTCACCGAATAGTTGATCTGGTGCTTGTTGAGTTTGGTCGAGAAGAATGCGATCGGCCTTTCCTGTTGCTCGTCGTCTAGCTGGAACAACACGGCTCGGAATGGTCTTCGAAAATCCGCGTGAACTAACACCGGGGCAGTGGTGAGGGCTAACTTCAAGCTTTCCATGGCATCCACGGCCTCGTCACTCAACACAAATCGACCCGTTCTCTTCTTAAGGGCATCATCAGTCAACGGTACTGAGATCTCGGCGAAGTTCTTTATGAATCGTCGATACCACCCCGCTGTACCTAAGAAGCTTCGTAGTTCCTTGACCGTCCTCGGATTCGGGATGTTTCGGATCGCTTCTACTCTTCCCGGATCCATGCGCAGCGTCCCGCCGCCTATGATGAAACCCAGGTAGTTTAGGTTACGGAAGCAGAATTTTGACTTCGCCATGCCTATGGTGAGGTTCGCGTTCCTCAGACACTCGGCCACCAGTTCCAAGTATTTTAGGTGCGTTGGAAAATCTGCCGATATTATCAGCAAATCGTCTAGGTATACGAACACGTTGGACCTCAGATTCGCCGGGATTACCTTGTCCATGAGCCTGCAAAGTTGTTGAGCGGCGTTGCAGAGCCCGAATGGCATGTGGCGAAACTGGTACAGCGGCCTCCCTGGTACGGTAAACGCCGTATACGCCCTGCTCTTCTCCTCCATCTCGATTTGCCAGAACGCGAACTTAAGGTCGAGAGATAAATGAGTCTCGTCGATTCGCGATAAGATGCCCTCGATGCATGGAAGCGGGTAAGCGTCCTTTACCGTCACACCGTTTAGTTTCCTGGCATCTAAGCAAAACCTGTTCTTCCCAGGCCTCATCACCACCGTCGTCCAGTTGCTCCAGGGGCTGTCCACTCTCCTCGATGATGCCTAACTTTAGCATTTTATCCACCTCGGCCCACACGATCACTTGTTTGGCCGGAGACAGCGGATAATGTCTGTCCTTCACGGGTTCTGCTCCCTCGATCAGCTGAATTCGGTGCTGGAGCAGGTGAGTTTTCCCTAGGCCATCCTTCTCAAATTGGAGAAATCTGCGCTTCACGCTTTCCAACTGACTCTTCTGATCGTTGTCCAGGTCCCACATTTCCGAATCCGCCGCGCAGTCGTCGTCGTCCCGGTAATATGCCACCTCTGGGTTCGCTACCGTTTCCTCAGATGCCTCTGGTGGTGTTCCTGGCTTTCTGGCCGGACCGAGCAGCTCTGGTACAATCTCAAAGGCCCGCCAGAAATCGATCCCCAGGTATAGTTCCTGTCGCAGGTCCGGGCACATGTAAAATACGATATTTTCCTTTCTATTCTCGTATTTCACAGGCAGAACCACGCGACCTAAAATTGGGCGATTGGCACCCGCCGCTTGTCCTCACCATCGATTCGTAAGGCCGCGCTTCCCATCCCAGTTCCTCCACTAACTTCCCGCATCCTCGTCCCAACAGACTGACTGAGGCCCCCGTGTCCAGCAACCCTTTCATCTTGGCCCCGGCGACTTCCACTTCGGCAAATACGCGTGGGTCTATACAATCCTCCCGTCTCACCGCTTCGACGACCTGGCGCCGGGTAATCCTGCGTCTGCGGAAGCGCGCACGTGCCTTCACCACTCTCCGGTTGGCTAGTGTCATCCCTTCCACCTGTCGCTCACCAAAAATTCTATTTCGGGCCGACATGTATGCCCGAACACGTTCTTCATACGGTAAGCCCCTAAGTGTTCCTCCTTTGCTTATATTATTATTATAATACGCCTTATCCTGATCCTTATTCCAACTCTCCGTCTCCTTTTTCCATGATTATTGGCTTTGTAGGTACCCCTCTCCTGCTTCCCCGCGGTCGCCGTCCCGGAACGCGTCTGCCCCGCCATCACCGCGCTACCTCTGGGGCTTCCCGGACAGTTTTCGCACTGGAAAGTGTCCGGCTTTCCACACCTATAGCAGAATATTTTCCGCTCCTTGGACAGGCAGTCTCTAAAGACGTGATCGAATTGTCTGCAGTTCCAGCATACAAGTCGGGATGAGTTCCTGCCTCGCACGAATGCTTCCTCCAGTTCTCCCGGCGGCGTTTCTGTACTTTGTGGTGGTACTTCAACCTCGTGGACTACGGGCCTCGTCCCTTGTGGACAACGCGACGGCTGCAGGTACCCCGTCCGGCTTCTACGACCCATGTGCCTCTCCACTTCTAGGCACTCTTGGCGCAGTTCATCCACGGTGAGCACGTCCATGTCATAGATATATTCGCCAGAGTTTCTTTCAAACCACGCTTTATAATCTTCACCAGCTCGCGGTCTCTCAGCGGCTTCTGAGTCGCGCGGCGAGTTGAAGCATGTGGTGGATATAACTATCTACCCCTTCGCTGGCCTGTTGCTCTCGTTGTAATAGCTCCTGTATCACATCGTGTTCCGTCTGGTAGCCCCGGAACCTGTCCAAGAGGGCATGTCGCAGTTGCATCCAGCTGTCGACCCTAGAATTGCCGCACGTGCATCCAATACCACTCGCGGGCGCGGCCGGTCAGGAGCAGGTGGAAACCGCGCAGGACCTCCTTCCACGGGCATTGATACTGCCTCTGCAGGAACTCCAGGCATCAAACTTGACGTCCACCGCTCGAGCTTCATGTACGCCGTTTCTTGTACGTTGGCGTACGCCTCCTCCGGTTGAAAATCATCCGCTCTCCGGTCCTCTACTCGGAATGGCGGTTATTCTCGTTACGCCAGTTCCTCGACTGAGCATCTGCGACGTAAAAACTGGGCTGCTCGACGAATACTCCGCCCCTCGTGCGCCTTGTCTATGTGGCTTCGGTGGCACCGGTGGTGGAAATTGCCTCGCGCTGGAACACTTCCCGTTCTTCGGGATGGCGCCTGTTCGTGGTCCCGGCTCGACATGTCTCGGCGGGTTCGGCGCAGTGTTTAGTCTGGCGGCCTGAGCACATCAATGATGCCCTTCATAATTTCCATGAAGCCAGCTCGCATCTCCTCGCGGATGGACTCGCTGACGCCAGATGGCAGAGCATGCCGATACGTTTGGTGGGCCTGAGCGATCGCCGCTTTTGCCGCCGATTTGAGATCTGTCTCTCTGGAAATCCCCGGAAATTCATTGGCGTTCGCACCAGTCCCCCAGCCGGGCGCGGCGGTGGCAGAGCCGACGCCCCATCGCGTCAGAAGCCCAATCAGACACCTGTTCCTCAGCCATACTTATCCCTTCGAGAACTGTACCCCTCTCTTCTACAAAAATTGCTACCCTTAAACAAACGTTACCAATATTCCTAATAAATTTATAAATAAATAAACACCCACTAACAAATCTTACTAATAGAGAATAATAATTTCATACACATCGACCACAAAACATTACAAAATTAAATTTTTTCTTTCTAATAAATTTCAAATACTTGGGGAAGAAATCCTAACACAGGCTAACTAATCTACGCATAATCTGGACAGTGGACAACACTTAAGCATTCGTCAAATGCTCAGCTCGTCAGTTTGACTGACGAACGGCAATCAAGGAACGCTACCTTGAACGCGAACGTTTCGCCAACATGCAAACGTGACTTACCGTCATCAACCACTAAGAGAAAACTTCTCATGTTTATGGATACTCTCTACTTTCGTCGTGCTTCTCGGATTCCACGTCACGCTGCGCGATTATGAGCTCCCTACTCGTGCCACATAAGACTTCAGCGGTGTGGGTCCTGAAGCCAAAGGAATCCTTTTCTCTGTACCTTCATTTATATCGTATTTATTTTTCTATGATTACGCAACGACTTCAAAGAAGCCGAGTGCTTCTTCAAGTTGGGCGCCATATTGTTACGGAACTGCTTGTTTCTCTGTGGGCCGCGCCGGCTGGCTCATCGGTTTCTCTGGGTGTACTCCCATCCCTGGCCCGCAGTCCGCGCAATCGATAACAGCAAAGCTACACGTCTGTAGCAAAACAGAGTTACACAACACTATGCAAACGAGCCACAAATCGATAACGTCAAACAATCGGAACTTCTAACTCATGAACAAAATAAACAGCTGTAACAACTATGAAAATGTAAACAACAAAGGTGAGACACTCAATATAAACTTACAAAAAACACTATTAATCCACCTTACTCTTCAGATCGGGCCCCGGTTCCGGACCCAGCGTACCCCGCCCAACCATGAGACGAGCACCTACAACTCGTCTCCCTCATTTTGTCCATTAGATGGCCATCAGCCTGTGCCGGCGTTATGGCCAATTCCTCCCCAACGAAGAAAATTTAACCGAACATTTCTCTCATCAGATACGGTATATAATTGGTTGCGTTTTCTTAAAGTGAATAACACTTATAAGCATTGCTTATGGCATTTATCTTTGCAGCTATTTCGAATCTCTTACAAGTGGATATTTGGTTAGCTTCACAGGTGCGTATAATGGTTTGCGCATTCTTATAATTATTGGCCTTAATATTTCTTTTATTCCTTTCTGATTTGCATGAGGTCTCCGTCCAGATGAATTAACACTTATGCACGTGCGTATTAATATTGCATATTTATATTTATACTTATGGACAAAGTGTATTAATGCCTAAATTTTTCTCTTATCTTCTAGAATTCTCTTTTTTTCATTTAACAGCACTAAGTGGAACAGGCGACGAAATTCTACCAGGATACTGCTAGTCGCCGCAAAAACAAAACACGCACGAAGGAAATTTGGATGCAAACGTTGCGCCAATTTAGGACCAATGTGCCCACACAACTACGCAAAACTGGGTATGCCACGAATATCGGTCGTGCAACAGGTAGGTGATATGAATTGTATTAAATCGCTTAATTCTACCTTACCTAAAGAGCTCTCTGGGGGAGGTAAGGGGCGATGTAAATGGATAATTCCAATTAGGTAAGTATGTGAGCATAGTTCGCGAAAGTGTTAATTTTAAATGTTTATCTTTTACAGGCGCAAATGCATCACCCTTGGAAATTCCCTCACCGTTCGCACTCTAAAGTGAAACTCGGCGTAAGTGCCTATGTAAGTATGGACATGATTTATAAATACAAAAAAAACTAAATTTAACGACAAAAAAAAAACTCTGTTCTTTTTCAGGGAGTACGGTTCAGGAGCCTCCATCATATCTCTGCCATGAGCTCGAACGAGGATGGGCAAAAATGAAACGGACTCACTCGGAGGATGTGGGCGTGGTCTCGCCTGTGGCCGCTTCTTCGCTGTTGGCGTCCGGTCCGTGATGGCTCGTCCGTCCGTTTCGTGGATTACGCCGACACTTGGCTGGCGGCGTCGCGGATATGGCTGTTGTGTGCCGCTGAGCCGATTCCTGGCCTTTGATATGTTCGCGGGCTTCTCTGGTGCGGGAGCTGGTCCCTTTGTTGCCGGAACCGTTAATTTTTATTTTTATTTTGCTTGTGGTGGTGTTCTGTTGATAATATATTACACCATTTCATATATTTGCAGAGGTCATTAATAATTGAATTTTTATACTCAGTACTCTTGTCTGTTATTAACGTGCATATACCCGTACTTAAG